TCTAGTGTCCACCTCCATTCCCGTTTGTGTCCCTACTGACAGATAAGACCATTTTGCTAACGTGATTGTGACAAGTCCATTTAAAATCCAGAATTAAGTTCCCTTCTAGATATACTTTGTGTTAGCATCTTGAATCCTAGTCTTTCAATAATATATTCAAATTTATACAGATGCATAACAATGAAGAATAAAGTATTTTGTCTCTAGATGCTGTAGCTAATTTAAAAAAAAAGTGGAGTGCTCTCAGACAATAGCAATACTTTCAGATTCAGAAAAAAACCCAATTCCTCTATAAAGACATCTCTCTCTATTGCACTGCTGCCTACCTGATGCGTCATAATTTTTAAGATTTTTGTCATTATTTTCAAAAGTCTGTAGAACTCCCCTCTTCACATACACTCCGTTCGCTGACACATAAGTTCCTTAAACTTCTCCAAATTATAAAACATTAAAGCTGGGAATATTTATGTCTTTATCCTATTATTCATATTTTTTACAAAAGCACACACAGAAGTGTCTTCCCTTAAATCAGAAACACCCTTTCCTCGTGTATATGCTCATTATATATTCTAGTTTTCATGTTATAGAAAATATTAAGAAAACAAAAAAAAAGCCTCCTGTAAGAGCGATGTTTAGTGTTACATCAAGCTTCATATGTTATGTATTTACAGCACACGTTAACTTTAATGTTGTCATTAGGCAAGGAAGCTAAGGGACATTTGTTCCTTTCTTTTACACATGGAAAACAGTATGGAAATTCCTCATTGTGTCTCACTCAAACATGTATAAAATCATGTAATTTCCATGTAAATGCCCTATCCTTCAACAAAATTGGAATGTAAGCTCCAAATCTTGAAAACACAAACAATCTTTTAAACACTACCTTCATAAAATAAGCAATGTAAGCTTGAAATAGGGTTAAAAAAAAGAAATCTAATTCATGGTAACACCTCAGGAATTATAGAAATCCCTCCAGGAACTGAGGAAAAATCCAGGAGCAGGTGCAGTATCCACTCCACACAGGCCAGGAATTACCACCTTCAAATGCAGCCCATTAGCCTGAATTATATAGAATAAAACCTTCCATACAGCAACACAGTCCTCCCTCCGTTCCCTGTTCATGTAACGTTATAACAGACACACCACAGTACCTAACACTTACAATGGAAACAGTCGTAGCGCTACACAGATTAATATGCAATTAATTTAAAGCACCAGCTCCTATGTTGAACAAATGGAAAGGATTACAAAAAAGTCTAAACGTCCATCAGAAGAAAGGCCAGCAGGCAGGGTCTGTGCTCAGCAAGTTTCGTACAGGTGCATCAAGGTCTTGTCTGCCTTGTGAGACCCGAGCAGGAGAGGGGAAGACCGGGAGATGCTGCCAGCACACAGGCTTTCCACAGCCCATCCCACCGCAACGCAGAAACGGTCGGTGAGCACTGCTGCTACAATACCCAGGAAACACAGACAGCAGTGGAAGACGGAAATTTCACTTTCAGAAACCTAAAATATGTTTACAGAGAGCTACAGCAGGCAGATCCAAGCCTGATCTGCCAGCATTTCAAGTCGCCCAAGCACGTCCCTGCTTATGTCCAAACACCATTCAGACTAGAGCCACGCAGCACTGGCTGTGGGCTGGCCCAGCCCGACCTTGAATTTAATCTTCGTCTTTTGTTTCTTTAAGGTATATATTTTATTGCAACTTAAAAAAAAAGACAACAAAAGAAAATCCCAGCAATCCTCACATCCCTCACAGCTTTAAGAAACACAAGCACAGCGATAGGTGTTTCAGTACATCTAGTTCTGGTTATTTGCCATCATTCTAACTTTGACATGCTAACTCTTCTGAGCTGTTTTTTAACAACCAGCGCAGCAGACCTTTTAAACTTACATACGTATACACTGCAAGTGTAAACATTTATTAAGTTATCTTTGTCAACTGATTGCAAGCATTTGATTGCTCACTTGTGGTTATGATGGAAAAGAGCTGAAGATATCCATTGCTGTACTTTGCTTGCTGAATGAGAGAGAAGATGCATTTCAAAGAGTTAATTTCTGGGCTGCTTAAAACTCAAATACTGCATTTAACTGGGTTCAGGTTCTAAGGTATGGAAATACTGTTCTACTTATTGATATTTTTAACAAGGTACAGCAAGGTTACAGACTGTAAATTGTAAGTCTTTACTCAATGTCGGAAATTAAAAACAATAGATGCTGCTAACCTGAGTCCACGGGACTCAGCAATTCTATTTCAAATCTAGAATACAAATGCAGTATCTTACACACAAAGAAATGCACTTTATTTCCCAGAGCTAAGTGCTCTGGTTCTACTTCCCAGAGTTCTGTTTTAATCAGATGAGATAAAGCACAACCATTATTTGTTCAATTAATCATGGTAAAGGATGCCACGTGTTCGGGCACGAAAAAAAAAAAAACACTCTGTAACTGGATATTGCATCCAGTTTTAAAAAGACCAGCAATGTCCAATTATTTTTTTCCCAAAAGAAAATGCACCTGACAAAACCTTGGAATAACTTCCAGGACATTTTGAAAATCTCAGGTCTGATAAATATAACTGCCTCAGAGAAATAATTTTCTTGTTTAAAACATTTCTCTATGGATGAAAACCATGAACACCACACACTTGTCAAAGCTTTACTCATCAGATGCGAACGCTCAGAAATATATTCAACAAAACAATTTTGTAACAGAGAATGAAAATATAGAATTATTCATCTAATCAGACAATTGCTGGAAGCCTCTCCCAGCCTTGTTTGGCATGTTAACCAAACTCGTGAAGATATAATCATCTGTCTAGACCTGTCCCTTTACACCACCAAACTTGTGGAAGCAGTGAGGTAGTGCAGTAAACTAATCCTAACCATCCTTCATCGTACCACGAACATTAGAGCAGAGCTGCAGGAAAGTGGAAGCTCTCCTGCTGGCTCCAGCTAATGCTGCAGGTCAGGAGAGGAACGTTTCCCCCACAGAATAACACAGAGCAAGCTTAAGTCAATCCCAAATTAAGCCATATACAAGTTTTTAGATAAAGCCTATGCAACATCATTGGAAAAGATGTATCAGTTATCCCAAGTCATTTCAGATGTGTGGGAAAGTTGCTCTAGACATCAATTTGCCCCAGGAATCCAGAAGGAAAGAAACAAAGAAACCCTCTCTGGCCATCAACCTAATAGTGAAGGGCTAGAAAATCTTAGCCAATGTATGGCACAAGCTCAGATACAGCTGAACAGACCTGAGGGCATCTCTGGGGAGGAACTGGAAATACTGAGTCCCGCATAGTCCGGTCAACGTGATGAAGGAGGGAGCGGTGATATTTACCATCTCTCCCAGCCATGAGAAGCTGGATGGAGAAGATAATGGATAGGCAAAAATATCAGGCATACTGTCAGTTCTTTCCCCTAGCTCACACAGAAGCCTGCAAGCTATGCAGGGCAAGCAAATGTGTGCGTCTTGTGCAGGATTAGGCAGTCTGGCAACGCAAAGGGCTTGGTACCCTGCAGCTGGCCATCTCCTCCTGCAGCCAAGAAAGACATTTGCTAAGTTACTGCAGTTGTTCAATCATATTAACGACGTTGGGGGTAAAGTACTTCTTTTCCTGAAATCCCACTAAGATTATCACATTGCATTTAACCGCTTCCAGGGAACAGACAGCAAGAGTGAGTGAGAGAGGGAGAGAGAAAGTGAGCAAGGGAGGCGAAGCAAGACAGCAAGCTGGGGGAGAGAAAGAGAATGCAAAAAAGGGAGAGGGAGAGATGCAGTTGTGGCGAATGAGCTGTCTTCAGACTCAATCCACTAAAGCTTCAGAAGTACGAAACACACGTGGACAGTCACTAAGGAAATACCTACGGTGAAGCTTAGGATCTCCGCAATTTGATGCACCAACAGTTCGTCTTGTAATAAGCCATGGGCATTGCTTACCCCTTCAGAGAAAAGCAGCTTGTCACTTTGGAAACTATGGAATAACCAACTGTTGAAAAATCTTTAAAAAGGCAGCATAATTGATCTTAAAAATTTTGTAGCACTTTGAAGATATCATAACATCTCGGGTTTTGAGATCAGTGTTCTACAGGGAATATAAAGAAGCAACTGTCTTAAAAAGGGCTGCTTTCCACTCTACAGTTTTGCTCTAAACTTACCAGCTGCTGCATTAATTAGCATTGCAATATGCATCTAGAGCACTAAGGTCTTCCTTCTCTTTAGAGTGGAAAAATAATGTGATGGTGTGCATTGACAATGATACACAGGGGAGGTTCTGACTGGAAGTAAGGAAACAGTTTTTACTAGGAGGATAATTAGGAATTGAAAGAGGCTGCACAGAGTGTTTGTGGAACATCTGTTCCCAGGCGTTTCCAAGACCTAATGGGAGAAAAGCCCTGAGCAACCTGCTCTGAACTCAGTGTTCACCCTGCTTTGAGCAGCACGTTGGACTCGACAACCTCCTTCCAACCTGAGCGATTCAATGGTTCTGTAGTCTACTGTCAGATAAAAGGTATCGAGTTCCCCGGAAGCACCACAGACAACTATAGGAGTTTTCAAAATCAGAGTTTTTTAAAAATAATATCCTTCAGGAATTTTGTTCCAAGTACCAGGTTGCATTACTCATGCACAGTGCAATTAAATCAATGGTATGACTGAAAAGCTTTTGGTAAAAGCACATTTTGAATAAATTTATGAAGCGCATGCAATAAAAGTTAGCAAAAGACAAAAAAAAAAATCAAGTATTTACTTTTTGGAATATCCGTTGTAAATAAACGATGGCTTTCCACTGAATTCCTTTTATCAATATCAGTAACAGCATAATAATTTATGGGCAATATTAAATGTGTTTCTTCATAACAGGTATTTCCTATTAACATTGCATTAACGTCCCTTCTTAAAAGCACACATATTCATTAAAGGAGACAAACCCCCAGGCCGCCTGAAGAAGCAGAGGCAGATACCCATGCAGAAAGCACTTTGCAGGTGCAACACATCCTCACCTTGAGATTGGGTTTTGAGAGGAGTTTCAGCAGTTCTCTGATCTCACTGCTCAGTGGCTTGCTCTGCAGCTCCTCAGCCAGCTGGGTGGGAGATGGAACCGACACAAAGACCGTTAGCAAAGCGTTGTTTTACCCAGCGCATCAATGACAACCCAGAATCTGTCTTGTTCAAGGTTATTACTTTCCAGCATGTTCAAACAGAAGTCAGCATGAAGAAAAACACCATCAATCACTGCGCTTCTTTTTCTGGCCCTCGGTGGACCAGATTTAAGCCAGGCCTTTTGGCTCAGTTTAACACAAGTAATCATTTCTGGCAAGGGTGCAGCCAGATCACATTCTGATTTATAGCGATGGGGGCAAATCCCAGCACTTCATTTAAGTGAATGGTCCTTTGCGTGCAGACAAAGGACTGCTTGTAAAAATGACTGGATCAAACTTTGACACTGTCTATAAAAAACAGTTTCAAATGAGGTGGTGAAATCCACACTGCTTCCAAAAACCCACAGTAGCCGTGCTGTTTAGGACTGGGATAAGAAAGCAAAGTGCCCCTACAGTGCAAGCAATCTGAACCTTTTATTATGTTTACACATACACTGGAAGGAGCTTGTTAAACGTGAAGCGGGTTAATCATAATATAGTTTATAACAGGTCATCAGCAATTCAAGCCCCTAAAATGTACAAGCTATGTCCTAACAACAAGATCAGTAATTTATGTTTGGTTATACTACAAAATTGGGGCTTGGTGAACAATAGAGCAGCAGTCTAACGTTTAATCCCACGGCTATTTGGCTCATGACTTGAGTTTTTCTTATCAAGACATTCTCAACTAATTTGGACTCAAGAGGCATATTTTACTGCAGGATTTCAGACTTGAACTATTTTTCCAGAAGAAGGAAAAGCTAAAACATATTTCACAACACTGAACTTCAGTTTAAAATTCTGAAGCTACATGGCTCATAATCCGAAACGTGATTTCAGATAATCACTTATTTTCTTTGCATTAAATTAGTATCATAAAAATGTCTCAGAGAAAGATTGGTCATTCGCAGCAAGTAATTTTATTCATCTAGCCTAATTTTAAATGTGTACTTTCATTTTATATAAATTTTCAAGATAAATGGATAGAAGTATATTTTGCATAATTATATATAATAGACAATTCTAGAAGCAATTATAGACATCAGACATGGTTTGAATATCTTTTGTTTTAACCTTCAAATTAATACAAGGTTAACAGGACTGAAACAAAAATTCATCAGCTAGAGTCCCACAGCCTTTGACTACAATTCATAGATAAAAATGTCCATCAAATACATCAATGCTCATCTTAACAGTATTTGTGTCTTAATATGAAAAGATTAGAACACGATCTCTGTAGGAAAGGTTAGAATGAAATATTTTAGGCCGATAAAGCCAAGTATTGAGGTAATCTGACTGCAATCTATTCTGCATGTTCTATGGAAAAGCTCTGCAAAGCTGAAAATAATCTGTGATAGGAGTGACAGCAGGTAGATGACACAGGCTCCCCTTAGTTCTCTTTTCATTCTTTAGCTTGTACTACTCATCACTAGAGAATAAAATCTATTCATTCATGTTTCATTGATGAAGACCAGTAATCACTCAGTAAGAATGACTGCTTCAGCATTTCTCTCTCAGATGAATTGTGCACAAGCATCTATTAACTTCAGCAGAATTGGCGTTTGCTTTGGTGGTGCAAATATAAATGCAGCCACATAAGGTTTAGAACAGTGAGAAACAGAAAGAATATTTTGTTATTGCTTTAACAGACTTTTTAATCTCATACTTTAGAAATTATTTGTTCAGAGATGAAATAATTAAAAATTTGTTTTCACTTATCATTTACAAGGTTTTTCCAAATATTTCCATAGAAGTCTTAAAGGCACATGTAACACGCCGTGACAGAAGAGGAGCAAGACAAAGATAGACAGAGAAGGAGGAAGACAAAGCCATGTTTCCAGATTAGCAAACAGATATCACCAGAGCTGCTTGTTGTGCTTCTAGTAGTTTTGGACTGGATTTTTATTTGTTGTTGTTGAAGTGCTGAGATTTGTGACAGCTACCAGCAGCAGTACAAACCAGATGGAATACTCCGGGCACACTGATACCGTGCCGATCACCTATGTCAAAGACTGCAGGAAAAGCTGTCAGAGAACTTCTATGATTCTCTGTTGAGGGAACCATAACATTTCACCACGCTCTTTATGAAGAGCTGCCACTACAGAGAGGTGAAAACAAAGCAAGGGAGAGGGGCAGGTACAGAGTGAGGCTGGCGAGATGAGGAGCACCAGGGCCTGGGGGTTTAAAGCTGCTGGAGAAAGTTCTGAAACTTCTTTTGCCAGAACAGTCTTTCTAATAACCTAGAGGCCTTATGTGCCATATATACCTATACTGCCGGCAATGTTTAGAACATTTCCATGAAATCGAGAGTCCTACGTCAGACACTGCTGCTCCAAAATAAGAGGCAAACAGAATCTCTGATGGGAAATGCAGCCTAGAAGTCACCGGGGGTGAGGAGAGAGAAGGTATGGCAGCTAGGAATATGAACATATTTAGAAAAGAAGCCTTGCCACAATTGTTACCTCTAAAATTGCTTTAAAAAATAACACAAGAATAAAACCACACTCCTTAAACAGTTTTTAGTTATGTTAGCAGCACCTCAACTTTGGGTTTTAAATCAAACAGAAAATACTCACTTGCTAATAAGAATATTTCCTTCTTTGTTTAGCTATAGAACAGTTACTATCGCTAGGAAAACAAAACACTAATTTAAAGCCTATTGGAAAAAAAGTGTGGTTTATATCATCAACATGCTCTTAAATCCCTGAAGCTGACAACTAGTCAGAAAAATGTGCCAAAAATTGAATAGCACTTTAATCCTGGAACTCCAAGGGTTCTGGAGTTACAAAACCCACTGCATGTAAATTAACTTCCTCAAAGTTTGCTGATAATTATCGAAACACAGAAAATCCTGCAGTGTGCTAGCCTGACTTCAGCTGCCAAAGGACATCCTCATTCTATGGGATGCTGCCCATAAAACCAGCTGTTCAGCTACACATAAGCAAAAACGAAGAACCAGCAAGAGGATCTTTAAAAAGAAACTGCTTTAAAAGTAGGCAGGTGTCTAGAGACACTCATGTCCCAACACATGTACATTTTAAAAATACTACCATATATACACAATAATACATTCATAGGGTTAAAAACCCTGACCTCTCTCAACTGAGGACTGACAGAGTACTTTAATTTGGGGATTTCCAAAAGTATACGTTTTAAATTGGGCTGAACAAAGAATGAGATTGCTCAGCATTTCTGAAAATATCAAGAACTAAGTTTTGCATCCAAAAATAAGAAATGATTCTTATAAAGAATTTTAACCCAGAGATCCATAACACAAATGTTAACGAGGATTATTAATATGTCACCAAGAACTTAATGAAGAGAATTTCAACCAGCTTTCTAATTTTCAAAATTACTATCAACATTATTCAAAGCTACTTGAAGGTTAAAAAAATATTACTAATATATGCCTGATGTCAAAGCTAATGCATTATTATATTTGGTATGTTACAGGATATAGCTCTCCTCCTACTGAAACATGATTAAATTACATTGTGTCCTTTTTTTCAATAGACTTTAAATATGTTTAATTCAGTTTTTCGTTAAAATGTTACCATTCTCAATTCACAACACCTAACCATTTGTAAAATTTAAAAATCAAAAGCTATTATATAAAAAGATAGTTAAGATTTTAAAACGTCTATAAAGTATGTGAAGTTTCAAACATACCATATTTGAAACGGATCCTAATACATATGGCCTTTTCCAAAAAACAACCTCAGATCATCAATTGCAACAAAGATTTCTGGATTTCACCTAAACCACAGTTTATTAAACATTTCTCTGTCCTGGCCTACCTCAGGTTCAGTCATAGTTTATACAGGTGCGTGCACAATTCATCTGAATCCTAGAATTAACCAAATAGCAAGAAATGGCAGGTTGGAGTTTTTTCTTTAAAATAAAAATTATAGTAACAGGAAATTAACTACTCCATCAATGCCGACCACTTTTACAATTTATTTTTTGGTTATGAAGGTAATTTGGAAAGCTCCAATATCAATAAATCACTACTGTACTTTTTCTTAAATAGCTTTTGATTTTTTTTTTTAACAAGCCACCTTCCTAGGCATTTCTTATGCTTCATTTCTGTAGTATTATCTGTCATTTTTCATGTTCTGTCAGCAGTGCTGCTATCTCATTTGTCTTTGTTTTTCCAAAGCATTCCTCTTGTCTGTGACTTTCTCAAAACACTAATAGTTGACAGCTTTTCCCCTCCCAGTAGAGTTCCAACCTGTAATTTCTATTACGTAGTTACTAAAGCAGAACAAGAGGCTATCTAGATGCAATGTTTTTATAACAGGCAAGTGAATAAAAATCAAAGTAATATCAGCAACAAGCCTGGTGATGACAGCACCTTTGGAAACATTTGCAGCTTCTTATGATTTCAGCTCAGAGGATTATATTCATATGTTTGCACTATGAGGAGTTCTGCTTGCAGACAGTTTTTTGGGAGACTTGGTACCAGTGATCTCAGCGGGGGACACTTACATCATCTGCCAAGGCTGCTGCACTGTGGAGTATGGGCACCGGGTTCTGTTTTTCGTAATAATGCAGTTTTTCATGAATCTGGAAGACAATAGCACAAAACGATAAGTATATTTAGCAGCATGAGAAATGGTACAAAATTACCCTGTTGAGCTAACTGATCTGTTGAGTGTCTGTAACTAAAGAAACATCCTTATAGTAACCTACAGGCAGCAATCATGTAAATGTAATTCATCATCATCCTCTGTTGAAGTGCTAAGAATATGAAATCAGATGGAAAAAATGCTCAGTATGTAGACCAACCCACAGAAAAACTAAACATTTGTGATTTTTCTCTCCTCGCTTTCTGTGTCCATATTTCTAACATATTGCTTTAAGTATCAATTACATTTTATATTGCTGCTGAAAACACAAAGCATAAAGTGTTTATCCCCAAGATGGATATAAAAAACCCTGTAAATTATGATTTATGAAGTGAAATAATAGCCTGCCACCCACATCTTGACAGACAGCTTGGTAGAGCGGCTGCCGTCATTAAAATAATTCAGAAACAAGGGCAAAGTAGTGCTAATATGAATTCTAACACATCTGAAAGAAAAAGGCAGTCCTTCAGCAAGTTAAAGTCATTTAGGAGCATTTAAAGTTTTTAATGGGGAGTTATCAACATTAAAAATGCAGCGTGCTTTGGTTCTTTCAAAAGGGGAAAGGATACGCCATTATTTAAATATCCAGCCTCTTCCCTCCTCCACAAGTCATGCATTTCAAAATTTAGATTTTTCCAGTGTGAAAGCTTAAAAGAGCCAAAATATTTTAAAGCTTCTAACAAGTTTTTTAAAAGTTCTTTCAGAATGGCATAAAATAATATATTAAGCATTCAATTTTATTTACATTCTTTTCCTGAAGATACACAGATGTACACATATTAATTAAAATTTAAAAAAATAAGACAACAGTAGTCTGAACTGATGCAAACACACTCCATTCTTAGATTTCTACTTTAGTGCTGCTGCTCTGAAGGAGGCATGGACTCCAGATGGTTGGAGGAGTTGCAGAAGGAGCTAAATCTAGGACTTCTGTGCTTGGCAAGGAGGGGAACACGAGGTCTGGCACAGGCCGCAGGGCTCAGGACTTGGCTGGGGAGCCCCTCACATCCTTGGGGTACGGGAACCCCAATGATACCCTACCCCTCCCCAGTGTACTGCTGGGGGAGGAACGGGACAGATGCCAGGCAGCAAGGACATCTGTAAAGAGCAACCAAACCAGTGGTCTTTGCACACTAAGAATGTTTGGAGTTGACTGGATCGTACCTGTTATGCACCAACTGTTTTCTCCAGCCCTCCCTCCTCTTCCACATTTGCTTTCCTCTGCTTACTTTTACCCCCGGCAGCACTCCCTCCTCTCACTCTCCAGGATGCCCTCAGCTTCCTCGCCAGCCCTTTCTTTTGAATTTCATCTGAACTCCTAATAACCACACCCACAACAAGATAATGCCATGTCAGTGACACTTGTGCTTGCCATTTTTCCTGTCTTCTGCTGAGCTTCATAACACTTTCTAAGTGTTATGAAGTTTATGTTTCTAAGTCCGCATCTGTTCTTACTCATTTAGACTATAGGTTCTTTGAAGTAAAGGCCATACGACACTCTGTTAATGTAACGGGGCATAGCAAGATCTAAGTCTTGGTCGATTCCTTCATCATTTCTAGAAGATTATTTCGGTACGTGGTGTGTTAAAGGATACTGAAGTTCTGAAACACCAAGGTGAAGCATGAAGACAACACAGTTGCTCGCTCGCTAAGTTGTAAAATGATTTGTTCAGAACAGCAAGTATTTGTACCTCATCTGGAAACCAAATGCAAAGCACTACTATTTCCAGAACATGAGTCTGAATTTTACATAGCTTATATAGACACTGTTTACTCAGCAAAGTAAGACTAATCCATATTGGATGTCACCAAAAGTGTAAGTGACTGGAAAACTTCGTATTTCTAGCTCACAAAGCACAGAAACTCAACAAAACAAGGAGACGCAGCTCCTGGAGCTTAGCAGAAATTTGTGATTTACTTAGACTGTGAACTTGAATAACTAAAAGGCATAATAAATCAAAAAGTCTCAAATCCGTCATTTCTTTGATTGCTTCAGCCAACATCTTGATTTTGTCCAGGCTGAGCTTCCGTCAACTCTGAGGATAAAAGCAGTCACCTATGCTACCTTCTACTTTCTCAAAGAAATAGAAGTGCCTCTGCTGGTGAAGCTGTTTTTACCCTAGACACCCTGCAGGTGTCTTTACCAGTGAAATTAAAAAAAAGAAGGGGGGGGGGGGGAAAAAAAAAAAAAAAAAAAAAAAAAGGGGGGGGGGGGGGAACAAACAAACAAACAAACAAACAAAATATGCTGAGACATTCTTGTGCAACTCATCTTTAAAAAAATGTTATAAAATTGTAAATTCATGCAACAAAAAAATAGAGTTTTAAGAGGAGGTACTGCACAACTTTAACAAGTTATTGGCTCTGCCTATAACCAGAACATGGCTGAAAACATGTTATTATTTTCCTAACAGCGCATATTGGAATTCAGCTAAGCATTTAAGGAAAGTCAGCAAGGTTTTAGATGATGATGGAGGAGTTGTAGAGAGTAACTGACAAATTAAATCTGGAGCAAACAACAGGAGCTAATCAAGTAAGCAGGAAAATTTAACTATTACTAGACAGTTCTAGATATTAGGTTTTGCTACATCAGGTTAGAAGTTTTATTAATTTACTGTACTGGCACTATGAGTGACTCCAGGGATAAACATTACATGTTCTACAGTAACATACATTGCCAGCTCAGCACACTTCCATTTGAGATGCAATACAGATGGTGTTGGTTGGTTTGGTTTTTTTCCAAAAAGCATCTGATTGGATTTAATAGGTAGTATTTTGCCTTGTTTGCTAAATGAATCTAGTTTTTTTTAATCAGATCTCTATATGGCAGTATCTGTCTTCCATCTCTTTGTAAATTAAAGGAGTTACCCAAGAAAATTACAAAAGCACTGGTCTGTGCACAAAGCTGCAAAATACACAAAATACAAGGATGACCCTTCATATCAGTGTAAAATTATCATACGTATCATAAAAATGCTACTTCCTACTGCTCTCCTATAGATACCGCCTACTTCTAACTTCTGGATAACTAATGTATTCATCATGTATGCAGCACATATATAATACCTTCCTGAACGCAGTAAGACAGATTTGGTGCAATTCAACAGACAAAGCAAAAACTTCAGTGAGGCAAAAATGCATTTTCAGGCAACTTCTCTCCATGTGTCTAAAAATGTGTTCCAAGATGTTTTGGTCTGTAATTTTTCCCACAGATCACAGTAAGGCTGACTGGCCTCTCGTTCCCCACATTGTGTTTTTGGCCTTTTTTGAAGATGGGCACAGCACTTGCCTTTCCCTGTTCACTGGGGACTAGGTCATCTCTGTTGCCTTTCAAGGGTGACAGAGCACACGTGCAAACTCACCCAATGGCCCCTGAGTTTCCCAGACTTCAGGGTGATGAATGACTGCATTTATGACTACTGCCTTTAGAAAAATTACTGTGCACACAGTCAAACGTTTTGGCAACTTCTCCACATGCTGCCTTTCAGCTAATTATTTTCCTAAATCTGAAATTTGTAAATTGTGCTAATATATGCACAACTCGCATTATATTTCCAAAATTCAATTCTTACACAGGTAGAATTTGAAATTTAAATACCTGGATTACGTGACTACTTTGATGAAAATGAAGACAGTGTAAGCTAGGCAAACACAGAACTGAAAAGCAAAACAGGACATGGTGGTGCAAATACTTTGCCCCTTTACAAATCTCACTCAATAAAATTAAACTGTAACAAATTAAAATCATCCTAAAACACTTCGAGAGAAGAGTGGCTTCAAAACAGTAGAAGAGAGAGCATTTACCTATTCAAGAGAAAACATTTTATATTTACAACCATTTGTTTGAGCTTCATTCTAAAGAATTCCATTTAATACAAATGGCAAATTCATCTTGTATTCTGTTGCTATACCCGATGTCCAGTAACTTTAATACTCTTGCCTTCTCTCTATTATAAACCTATGTAACATATGGAGAGTACAGGACTGTATCATGCTTAAAAAATAGAAAACATAGTACATCTGTTTTCAGTTCTTCTGACATTTAAGTGTAAAGCTCGTACCCTGAAAATCTCTTCACAAATGAGACCGAGTCTGCTAAAGCAAGAGTTATGTATTGTAAATAAAACATATAAAGCTGTTCTGCTGGACAGGTGACTAAGTTTCTGGGGTTTTTTTGGTTTGGTTTGTTTTGGGTTTTTTTGCGGGGGGGTGTGTGTGTGTGGGTGTGTTTAATGACTACCTATCCTTTTCACTGTAGGATACTTTGGGTAGACTTAGGAGGTTCTGCGAAAACTGACCATCTACTGTGAAGATATGCCCCAAGAGGGAAAAATAATCATTTGCAAACTTATACAATTTTTGGCACATTTGTAGGCAGGGGAAATTGTTTCTGGATTTTCCCAGAAACTGAATTAAGCTTTCTGTAACAAAGTATTGTAGAAATATGTTTTCTGCAATGTCCCCAGCCTGGACTATTTCAAAACCCACATGGAGCTTTCTGAGTCAGAAAGAACAAATATCTTAAGCAAAGAATCCTACAAAATAAGCATGCTTTCTCCTTTTAGACTTCTTAATTTCCAAGTACAGTTCTGATATCATATGGCTAAAAACAACACAGAGGAAGGGGATAAACATGTACACAGAATAATATCACCAGTTTCCAATACCCCAGCTCCTTCTGGGAAGGAATCTCCTTAATACAAGAATAATTTTCTTAGAATTTAGTGGATTCTGGTACAGCTGTATAAGCAGGACTTTTCTGAAAGGCTCTACAGAACAATACTACACACCTACAAACTATATACCTGGCTTCAGAAAAGGTAGCTTTTATCGGTATTACTGTTCAAGATTTATTAGCAATCTTTTAGAAAGTTCTCCACCTATAACATTTCTGGAAACTTAAGATGGAGCTCCAAAATGGACTATTTTCATCATAAG